GGAATATCTATGTAGATCTAGTTTTTCTCTCTCTTCTTTAGGGTTTCTCTAATGGGATTCTATTGCGGACGGGCCCTATGTAGGGGTGTAAACGGATTTTAATCGGATCGGATGTGCTATTACCAAATCCGTATCCGTTTACTTTTGTCGGATATCGAATTCGGATACGGATCTTGACGGATATTGAAAAATCATAACCGTATCCGCATCCGTCGGATATCGGTCGGATATCGGATATATCCGTATCCGTTTCCAATTTTGAAAACTAAACTAAACAATACTTGAATTTTCAATTAAACTAAATTAAAATATTATTAAATCAACTATAATTTTTTATGGGATATTTATTTTCTTATTTTTTATAGTTTATGATATTATACGATGACTTCATATCATAAAAAGATATACACCGTACATATATACACATATTTTTACATGTCTACACATATTTTTATGTGTTTACACATATATTTCGCATATAAAAATGTCTTATACTTTGAGATATCTATAGAGAAACAAAATATAAAAATAAAAAATTAGGAAAGACCATATATAACGGATCGGATACACGGATAAACGGTTATTTAAACGGATGTCAATGCGGAGCGGATTATAAACGGATCGGATGTATGATTACCAAATCCGTATCCGTTTAGCAATCGGATATCCTTAATCGGATACGGATAATAACCGTTTTTAACGGATGCGGATATTTTCTATATAAACGGATACGGATGCGGACGGTAATCGAATTTTCGGTTATCCGTTTACAGCCCTAGCCCTATGTCTCACAGACCCATGGATATTATCTCATCAAAGAATATTTAGTAATTATTTTTTAATTAGTTGAATGTGATGGGATATATAATTTGTCATGAAAATAACAGGTTACAGGTTTTAACGTCATCACTGCCCATATATGGAGATGCAAGGCCTTGTCTCACGACATTGAGAACAACTCAGAGCGGCTATCCACTGTTCTCTTTGCAGTGGATATCCGCCCGAGGCTCAATCCGCCCCTCCCGCCTTCCTATGCAGGGAACGCGGTGCTCACGGCTTACGCCACGGCGAAGTGCCGAGAGCTAGAGGAAGGGCCGTTCTGGAAGACAACACACATGGTTTACGAGGGGGCAGCTAGGGTGACCGATGAGTATGCGCGGTCAGCCATCGACTGGGGCGAGGTGTACAAAGGGTTCCCGCACGGGGAGTTTCTCGTGTCTTCGTGGTGGCGGTTAGGGTTTGAAGGTGTGGAGTATCCATGGGGAAAGCCAACGTATAGTTGTCCGGTTGTTTATCATAGAAAGGACATTATTCTGTTGTTCCCGGACATTGATAAAAAGGACGGAAAGGAAAAGAATGGTGTCAATGTGTTGGTAGCTCTCCCTCCCAAAGAAATGGAGGCATTTCACTCCCTATTCCTTAAATACTTGGCATGACCATCATCATATCTACCATATACATATGGGAAAAAAAACTTTTAGTTATATATCATTTTCGTTATCTATGGTGAAAAAGTTGTAATATCAAAATGCATGCTTCCATTATTATAAGTACTTAATTTATACACACTCCATGCAAATATAAAGTTCTTAGTCACTATTTGAATGATTAAACTACTTTCTAGGAGTATATGTTTTCATTCTTTTATTGGATTTAACCATTTGTTATAATAAACTATGAAATAGTTTTTATAGAACATGGATGTAATTTTTAAGTATATAAATTTTATGTTTAAATTTTTTACTATTAGAAGTAATCTTGCGGAATATTTCACCAATATAACTATCTTGAAAAAACTTTATTCTGATTCCATGCATGGCCACACTCTTTGAGTTATCACAAAGGACATTGTCTCAAATGGGACACCAACGGTTCTTCATTCACAAGATTGATAGTTCCTACCCCTACTAAACCCCTTGATAACCCCACGTAATTTGTGTGGTGCAAGTTTAATTGACTTTGGCGCAAACTTTTTGACATCAAAGTCCACTAAACTTGGACCTTGCAATTGACATGGATGACCAGGGTGGGGGATGGGTTGGGGTCGGGACTTGGTGGGGAATTTACCGCGAGGAAGGGTTAAGGGATGAGAACTATCAATTTTGCGAACAAAGTACCGTTTTTCTCCAATATCCTCAATGGCCACTTAAAGAGAATGGTCATAGAACTGGACCCAAAAACTTTTAGTATTAACATAGGGCAATTTACCTATATAAGACTAAAACACAATGACTTTTTTAATATAGGACCATATGTTTTTATTTCTCAATGCAAGATCATTGGTCATTATCCATTAGTCATTATTCAGGTAATGTCCAGCATCACTCAGCATTATTCCTCTCACTAGACATTATTAAGTACTATTTTGAAAGATAAAAAAGTTTAAGTCCTACATTGAGAAATGACTTATGTTTTAGTCCTATTTAGTGCAAATTTTTCTTTAACTTTTAGAGTGTTTGAGGAAAAACTAAAAGGGTGTTTACTTTTCCAAAATACTCTTTTCTTATGCAGCATTCCGTTCAACTTATTTTTTCAGCTTATTACATATCCTTATTAAAATCAGATCAGATCAAATCATGTCAGATCTAATCAGATTTGATCATACCAGATCATATCAGGTACAATCAAATGAGATCTAAACAAAATTGTTATTATTATCATTACTATAATTATGATTATTACCATTAGTATTATTATTATTACTATTACTATTATCATTTTGATTATAATTATTATTACTATTGTTATTATTACTATTATTATTACTATTAATATTAATAATATTATTGTTACTATTGATATTATTACTATTACTATTATTAGTATTGATACTATTATTATTAGTACTATTACTATTGCTATTATTATTACTATTACTATTAATACTATTATTATGATTACTATTATTATAATTATTGTTGTTGTTGTTACTAATATTATTAATATTACTAATATTATTATTATTATGGTTATTATTATTATTATTATTATTATTTCTATTACTATTATTAATAATATTTCTATTACTAATATTCTATCATTATTAGTATTATTATTATTATTACTATTCTTATTAATATTAATATTATTATTATTTCTATTATTGTTACTACTATTAATATCTTTATTATTACTATTATTAGAACTATTTTAATAATAATTTTAATTTAAATTTAAATCAAATTTATATCAGATCAGATTAGACCAGATCAGATCAAAACTTCAAAAATCATACGCAGCCTAAGTCTCCTAATTTAATAAGAAAAACACTCCGAATGGGATTAAAATATATGTTATTTCCTCAAAGTAAGATGTCCAAACTTATATACCCAAAATAGGGGTTAAATTTAAAAAAAATCATCAGCGCATAAACTCACGTAGCCGCTCTTGCCCCCCTTTCTCTCTCTCCCCTTTCGCACCTCCGCCCAGCGTTGCCCCAATCCAACCATCATCGCCATCGATCCTCTTCCTCTACCACCATTACTCTTGACCCTCTATCGCCAGCACCACCACCTCTTTTCCTCCATAAGCCTTCCCCTTTTTACTTCCCTGCCTTTTCCACTTGCATATCTCTTTTGGTTTATTATGTAAATTCTTCAATTCCATGCTTGTGTTTAGATCAGATGTCCAATTGAAGATCCATCAATGCTGCCACCATCACTACACCCCTTGAAGGTATCAAGATAATTGAAATGGTATTAGAATTTGCTTCTAAATTGGTTGTTTAGATTCTACTTTTTACTTCTTACAAAATGATTTTTTAAACTTGATTTAATTTGCTTCTTTTATATGTGGTCTTCCGATTGTTTTAAGCTGTTTTTACTCTATCTCCCATAAAAGTTGTTGTGAAATGTGTGATGGTCTTTGGTATATGTGCAAGGCATTGGGTTAGTTTTTAACATTATGCCTTTGTGTGACAATGTATATTCACATCCATGACGACATTACATATATATGGGCATATGTGGATCGAAATTATTTTATAAAATTGGTATTAAAACTGAATGATTATGGTGTTGGTAAGTCATTTCATTTCTTAATATTTTGCTTCTTTTTTTGACATTATGAGTTTTGATGTGTGATTACTGTTAAAAGGTTATCCCACATCGGAAATTCAAGAGCAAAATAACCAGTATATAAGCTCTTGAGTTGAACTAACTAATCGATTGGATTCAATCTTTTAATGTAGTTCAGCCCAAGTGTCTTATTACTCAATCCAGTTATCCATACCCAATCTTAAATTCTATCATGGTATCGGAGCAGGTTTTGGCTCATCGCGTTTGTCAAGGTGTCCGTCTAGACGTTCATTTCTAGCGGCCTGTTAGTCTTTAGCCCAGTTATCCGTATGGAGTATGTACCCAACGGCCTGTGGCCTGTTTAACATGATTGCTCGTCTGGAAGTCCATACCCAGCGGCTCTTGGTCCTTTAGGTGTTGACGCTAAAAAAATTCAAGGGAATGGGAGTTTATTTGCAAGTGGTCAACCGGTTAGATTCAAAATGGTCCGGTTGTCCACTTAAGGGGAGTGTTAGAGTGTTATCCCACATCGGAAGTTCAAGAGCAAAATAATTGGTATATAAGCTCCTGAGTTGAACTAGACAATCGATTGGATTCAATCTTTTAATGTGGTTCAGCCCAAGTGTCTTATTACACAATCCAGTTATCCATACTCAATCCTAAATTCTATCAATTACTGATATGTGACATTATACATTTCCATATTTGTCATTATACATTGCTAAGATTGACATTATACATTGTTATGTTTGTTATTATCACTTTGTTTAATATTATGCTTTCGCTTCTGTGACTTTATACATTGATATGATTGTCATTATACGATTACGTGTGGCCTTAAGTAATTTTTTAATAATTAAAAAATCACTTTTTATTAAGTAATTTTTTTAATAGTTAAAAAAATTCACATTAGCTTTTAGGATTATGCATAGAAGTAGTTAATGTTGTGTATCTATTTTTAGTTTGTTCATTTTCTCCATTTTTTCTTATTTGCACGGTAGAAATTAAAAGGCCTAAAAAATCATTAATGGATCAAAATAATTAAAAAAATATTTTTTTGGTCCGATCGGTCCGGACCGGTTCGGTCCTTAGTATTTTGGTTTTGTCCGATATAAACCCGAATAGATTTAGGTCCGGTTCTTCGGTTCGGTCCAGTCTTAAACCAATTTGATTTTTGATCCGGTTCGGTTCAGTCCAGTCTTACACTCATGAATAGAAATTTTGCTTGAAACTTGTTTTAGTTTTCGACTCTATGTGGATCGAAGAAGTCAATGAAGCTTCAGTATCAGATTCACTGGACATGGATTACTATTTTTGCTTAGTACTCGCAAGCCCGTAATATTTTCACCTCTCGTCTTCAAGGCTTGTATCTTGAAAAAAAAACGCATCTAATTGCTTTATGCACGTTAATGCGATCTGGCTATTGATGGGAGAAATTGTGAAAATATCCGGATGTTTTGTACTCCATCCGTTCCACAAAACCATTCCCATTTTGACTTTGGGCAAAAATAAGAAAAATGTAATTTTGGTTGACTTTTCAATTTTGCCCTTGATGTGATGAGAAAAAGTAAGATGTGATAGTTTGGTTATTAGTGAAAAGGTATGATGTGATAGGTAGGATATGAAAAAGTAGGGGTAAAAGTGGTTTTTTAATAGAAAGTGGAAGTGTTTTGTGGAAAACAAAAAAAATGAAAGGGGAAGGATTTTGTGGAACGGAGGGAGTAATACATTTATCGATTATTTTGTGTAATATAGGTTTGAGACTGGCCTTACATAAAGTTAAAGTAGTTTGAGCTTTTTCTCTTATAGTTTGATCATGAAACGTATGGATCATTCATTTATAAGATTTTGGCTGAAATGTATTTTACAAAAATACAAAACATGGGCTTTTAGTATTTCTGAACTTTTTTGTTAATATTTTCGAACATTTTGATTGTAGTGCATACAATTGGATGTTATATTAAATCTCCCTTCGTTCCTAAAATGTTGTCACTGTTTGATTTTTTTAGTCAATTTTTTGTACCCTTTGACCGTGAATTATAGAAAAAATACATTTAGTTATAATATAATTTAATAAAATTAGATTTATTTTAAAATATAGTTTTAATCGTTTTAATTATTAAAATTTTAATAAACTTATCATATAACTTATTTTATTATTAAAATTTATCTAGTATGATTCAATATTCTTATCTCATAAAAAAAAACAGTAATTACTACGTAACTTTTATTTAGTGAAATTTGCACTAAATAGGACTAAAACATAATGACTTTCTTAATGTAAGACTTAAACTTTTTTATTCTCTAAATAGGACTTAATAATGACCTAGTGGAAGGAATAATGTCCAGTAATAATGAACATTTAGTTGAAGATTGACTACTTGATAATGATCAAAGGTCCCACATTAGAAAATAAAAACATATGGTCCGGGCCACAGTTCCGGCCGTTTCCTAGTTTTTACTCCCGTTTGCCCGGCCCTTTTTACAATTCGTTGAATGCCATAAATAGAATCCTTTCAACAACAAAAAAAAAACCAATGGTTTTCACGTTTATAAAATGTGTAGATAGAGCGCATAAAGTAAGTGCTCCAAATACTTCTCTATCGGAATT